GATGGGGGACGTGAGGTTGGCGGAAGGGAGCCCGCCCTCACCAACAGAGTGGTCCGTCCCTCCTCCCCCTCCTCACTACTCGTGCTGCTCCGTCGCCCCTGTGCAGGCACACTCGATCCACGTGCCACATGCCCACGAAGGCAATGCTGCCTCACCGGACTGGGCATGTCAACAGCAGTTCGGGTGCGCATGGGCGAAGGTGGACCAGAGAGGTGCAAAGCGAAGTTGGGGGCCCGTGTGCGCACCGGAGAAGGCGGAAGGGAGGAGGAGCGGACTGGCGGGGGAGGTGCCTCTAGAGGAGGAGGTCGTGAGGCTTTATGGCTTGCTTGACTGCCTCCATCATGCTGCATTACATGCTCACTCTGAAGCAGAATTGCAGTAGCAGCATGCCTTGGTAGGCTGTCATCCCCTGGAGTCTCTGACAGACTTACATATGAATCACTGCATGCGCTGAGAAGTGATTGATTCTGAAGCTGTTGCACAGATTGTTGCTTAGACTCTGATTCATCAGACTCAGGAGGAAGAAAAGATTGGGGAGACTCGGGTGCACTGCTGGGATCCTCGTGAGAGTTTCCCATCACAGTGCTCCATTGGGGCTGTGTTATGCTTAGGCTACGACTACTACACTCTGAGGCAACAACAACCACCTCATCTACAACACGCGGTTGTTTGGAAACTCTCCTTGTGGCTACCTCAAAGATTTTATCAAACACAGGAGCGTGTTCCTCTACTACCTTTGGCGAGGCAGGCACTGAGTGTGCCCGCCTGGCCCGGTCATGCACACACTCAGAGGTAACAATCATAGCCTCTACCCTATCTTTACATGTGGCCACCTTGGCTGGACCTTGGGAGAGGTCCTCCTCCCCTAGGAGAGTGACCCTCTCAGGGGAGCATGGCCCTGGTACAAGGCTACTATACAAGTTAACATTCAAGCAATTATCGTTAGTAGAAGAAATATTGGAAGAGAGAGAAGAATAGGGAGGCTGAGCGTCTCTTAGCGGCAGCTCTATGGCACTACGCCTACGTGTGGAAACCTCTTTACCTTCACTGTTACTCGATTCCAGGGCCATGGACAAACGTATGGCCTTCTCAATGTTGGCTTTGGCACAGATCTTTTCTACAGGCTCAGCGGATTCGTTAACACTCTGTTGGGGCTCGAACACATTCTCATATACTGGTTCTTCACTAATTTTCAAGGGGGTACTAACGTCTGGCTTACTGATGGTGTCTGGCTTAGCAAATACGTCTGGGTCACAAACTACATCTGGCTTATCATTATCAACATTTTTCTCGGTCAATGGTGAAGTAGATGGTGGCGTAGACGGGGTTGTAGTCTCTTCGTTGGTCTCAATCTTGGAAAGTGTGGAGATGAGTGCATCCAAATGTGCAATATCCACAGGATCTTGCTTCTGCTGCAGTTCTGTGGGCTTGGGATCAGCCAAGTAGAATGGTTTGGGCTTGTTGTTGAAGATGCTATCCAAGGGCCTGTAGGGTTTCCGCTCTACTAAAACAGGTGAGACAGGAGAACTCTGAATGGTCTGGATCTTGACCAGTTTTGGAGCAGTGATGGTTGTGATTGTGGGTGCATCAGAGGTGAAAGAAGCCTCTGCACATTTCCTCTTGGCCTCTATCCATGATGAGGGACCACCTGGTGGAACTCTGGCTTCACGAATAATGGCCTGTCGAATGTCTGGCTGAGACACTGCCCTTGCTGATGACATTTCTGTGAGTGTCTCAGTGCTAGTACTAAGGTTGCTGAGGTTACTTGTACTAAGGTTTTCCCACTTGTTGTCTGTCAGGTTTGCACGCTCTAGCCAGCTGGGATTGTGTCTTGGAGATGTAAGACCTGATTCACTATCACCTATAGCATCTTTGTAGCTCTCGAAGAACCTCCCTGCACGACGTGCCTCTTGCTGATGCTTTACTCTCCGAGGTGTTTGCAATTTACCACCTCTGTCTTTTGACACACTAGCACCTACACCCTCATGCCCATGCTGCAGATTATGGTCATTTTGCATAGCACGGGCACGGTCAGCTGACATGGATCTAATTGCACGTCGTCTGTGTACTGGGGAATCTGTGTTGGCTTCCGAAAGAAGTTCATCCAGCTCTGAAGTATTGAGCTCTCTGTCCCTTTGTTCTTTTCGCAGGTTCCTGAAAGCTAGGTCATCCATGGTTGTATCTGGCTGTTTCCTAGCAATCATTTTGGGCCGATAGTTATCTTTTCTGCTTACATGCAAGTAGTCACTTGGAGATGACTGTGTGGTGGGTCCTAAAGGTATACCAAAGGGTGGCTGTGGATCAATAATTTTGATAGCATTTGCTTGTTTGATGTTTCGATAAGACACATCATCATAAACTATGTCTGGTTCACCCTCCAGCATTGGATCCTTAGGAACATTTTTGTCCACATCAGAGGGTGTGGTATGGGCTGGGGAGACCAGCAGATAACTTCCAGTCATCTGCAAGGCTTTCTGTACATCTGGCTGGTTCCGGCTGCTCTGTTGGCACCGTCTGAAGTGCATGTCATCAGATTGTTTATCTGGCACTCCTGATCTTCTCATCCTGGGTGTTCGTGGCCTGCTACTCCTGTCTTTAACAGTGGAGTCAGTCTCAGTAGCTTCACTGGTCGAGTCATTCAAAGTATCTTGTCCATCCTTATTGCTCCTCAACTGCTGATGGACAGTTGGTAGGTCCCTCCTTTCTGCACGATCTAATATATCTTCACTATCCAGCTTAAGGCTATCATAGATCTCTTCTAATTCCTTTAAAGCTTCTTCAAAGTTAGAGCACTTGCTTTTTTCAAGCCTCTCCTTCTCCTTCCTGTACATCTCCTCAAACTCTTTCTGGTATTTGGGTTTGTCCTGAGGGTGTTCACGCTTGTGTTTGATGATGTTGTGCAGTATTTGTTGCTTAGTTGCTGACAGGTCTGAAGCAGCAAGTTGGCGATGACCTCGACGTGGAGGCTGAGGTTGTGTCTTAGGGGTGACAGGAGGAGAATCCTTCTCAGCAGACTCTGACTTCTCAAGAACCATAGAAAGAGGCCTGTTCTGAGCCACTGTCTTCTTTTCCCGTGCAAGACTGCTTTGACTGGAGTCTGAGTCTGGTCCCTTGGGTACAGGACTTGACACATCACTCTGACCAGAGAGTGAGCTGAGAGACTCTGCTTGCTTTAGAGTAATTGGTGGAGGCCTGGGCTTCTTGGGCAAAATGCTGCCATAGGTCTCCTCAGCTTGTTGGTCTACCCCAAGTGATATGCTGTTGTTAGAGTTGTTCCCATCAATGCCTTTTGGACTGTTTGAGCGAGAAGAATCACTCAGTACTTGAGATGGTAAATTCCTTTTGTTCTTGATCTCTTGCTCTTTCTGACGCCAAGCTGTATTAACCTGCTGGAGCCTTGCACTGTTATCACTCATATATGATGAATAATCTGAAGAAGGTGAAGGAGGAACACTACTAATGGGCACAATCTTGGCATACTGAGGCGACTGATCAGTATAGTATTTTAATTGGTTATTTTGTTGACTCTGGACCACTTGTGGTTGTGACTGAGTATGCTGCTGCAACTGTTGTAATGGCTGTGCATACTGCTGCTGTTGTTGTGCACGGTAATATTGGTTCTGTGCAATGGGCCGTGGAGGTTGGTCAGTATACCTATAATGAGTGTTTGGGTAACCTGGAGGTGAGGGACGTGCAGGAGCACCACCAGTATTGTACTTGAGCTGAGTCTGCTGCTGTGGAGACAGCTGAAGCTCCGAGAAAGAGCGACGTGTAGGTGCTGTCACCAATGGAGGTGGACCCACTTGTGGACCATTAGGCTTTGGGCCGAGGTAGGCTGGAACTGAGCGGACACTTGGGCTGGGACTCGAACCTTTGGTGAAGTTACTTAAACTTGACTGACTGGAGTTTGGACGGTTAGGATCTTGGTTGAGGCTTTCGAATGAGAAGGACATTGGACGTCCATCTGCAGGAGACATTATTCTACTTGGGTCTCGTGGTGGAGGGGCAGGAGGAGTCAGGCCAGATCTGTTGCTTGGAATATTGCTAGAAACTGGAGACATTCCTGGAGACTGCATGATGAAAGAACTTCTATTAATATTACTGTCGTAGGAAGCACTTCTGTGGCTACGTAGGTCACCTTGCATAGGAGTCTCATAATCCTGGAAACTTCTTCTCAAGTGAGGTCCAGATGGTGGAACTAGTGAGACTCCTACTGATTGTTTATTTCTCATGACAACAGCTTCCCTGGTCTCCGATGGCTGACGTGGAATGTGACCTTGGAACTTTGCTTTCATGTGCGGACTAGCTGCAGGACTCACTGACGGTGTCCGCAGAACAACAGATGACTCATATTCACTTGACTCTTGATATACAAGTTTGGCAGACCACCTTGGTTTGTGTGCCTTTTCTGCCTCCTTCTTTTTCTCTTCATTGATTCTGTTCCGTTCAGCTTCGTATTCTCTCACCCGCTGGATTTCCTGAATCCTTGCCTGGACAACCTCGCGGTTTCTCCGATCCTTCTCTGTTTCTGTTCGCAACGTCTCCAGCTCCTGTGATTTTCTCCTGAGAAAGCGCTCTGTGCGAGCAGCCCTGGACCTCTTGCTAAGGGAATTGGTCTTAGAGAGGCTGGACTCACTGCCATACATGGAGTGTGATGATACAGAAGCCTTCTCCTCATCAGAACTTGAATCCTTGAATTTATCCCGCAGTCTCTCCACCCTCGCCTTCAGTGCCTCCCTCCGCTCCTTCTTGCTTATGGTGTCTGTGCTAGAGCTGCGAGCACCCATTCCTCCCCCTGAACAGTAGCCTAATGAGGCATGTGAACCACCTCCAGCCCATGAGCCTAGGCTTACAGGCAGTGAGTCATGAGAGGCTGAGACACCACGACGCCCTTGCTGAGCTAGTGAAACGGGAATTCCCAAAGGCTGTATGTCCAAGCCTCTACTGGTGCCGATCACACCAGCGGGGGTCACTCGAACCATCCTTCGCCCATCTGTTGACATAAAGCTGTTCTCACAGCCCCCACTACCATCCAGCGGCGTGACACGCACACTACCTGCACCGCGAGCCACGGGACTGTAGTCTTCTAGTGCAGGGGGTGGTGGTGGGGGAGGGGGAAGCGGCTCCCTCTCCTTCGGTTCCTTTTTCTTACTCTTCCTCCTCAAGAAGTGCCGCTTCTGTGGTTCCTCACTATCGCTACTGCTACTACTACTGGATGAGCTGGAATCTGCCATGCCCTTCTTGCGCCGCCGGAAGATGCCACTCAGCAGTGACCGCTTGCTCTTTTTCTCTTGCACGGGAGCCTGCCTCTCTGCTGGTTCGCTTTCCTTCTGCCGCTGCTCATGCTGACCTTGCATTTTCTGCTGTAAGTGCTGTTGTTCCAACCTCTGCTGCAGATGCTGTTGTTCCAGCCTCTGCTGTTGTTGTTGCTGCAGCTTTTGTTGTTGTGCTTGTTGCATATTTTGTTCTTGTTGCAGCAATCGCTGCTGCAGATGCTGTCGCTGCTGCTGCTGATGTTGGTACTGTTGACTGCCAACGGAAGAAGTGGAAACGACTCTTGGTGCCCTGGGACTGGTCGGCCCCCTGGGAGGAGCGGCAGGTGCCAGACCTTGGGTGGCATTATGGCGGGCAGTGCCTGGAGAGACAGCAGGGGGCGTGGGACTCTTGCTGGTGGTGAAAGCATCCCTGAAGGACTGCGGTGGCGGTGTGTGTTGGAGGTGCTGAGGGCGGCTGTAATGCCCCGGGAGAGACTGGGCCTTGCGGTGGGCGGCGGAGGAGGCAGAGACGACGCGGGCGGCTACGTGGGCGTGGGATGTGCCATCCTCCATCACACCCCCACCCACCACGCCCTTACTTCCTCGTCCACTGTGCACGCTCTGCAAGAAACAAAACAGAATTAGTCATCTCGTAGGGAAATAGTGTAAAGAAGAAATAAGGAGGAAAAGATGAAGATATATAAACATGCATATAAATGTGTTACACAAATATTATACGACAAAGAATAAAAATAGACACAGTAAACATCATAGCAAGGGTGATAATTTAAATATAAACATGATCCTAATGGTAACAATGATGATGCCAATACTCATACTAATACTAACAATAATAATAACTCTAAAAATGATAAAAGTAAACGAACATCATTATACAAATTCTTAGGATGGATGCAATAAGGTAAAATTGATACACGGGGTAAGGGGGGGAGAGGAGAAGAGGTGTAACGAGAGGGGGGGGGGGAGGGAGAAGGAGAGAGGGGGAGGGGGAGATGAACAAACGTTTACCGGGCCCAGCCTCCCGCTTCTGGCACAGCAAACGAACGAACACGTGGCCCTGCCGGTTATTTTCGGCCGGCGCCACACACAAGCTCACTGAGAACACACCTTCCACCCCGCCCATTCTCTCCCTCACGCCCATTCCCCCTCCCTGTAACACCCACTAACCCCGTTCGTTACAATTCTACTCTCATTCTCGACTCGGCGCCCACAGCTGTCTCTCCCCTTCTGTCACCCGCATTGCTGCAATAACAACCTCAGACCCACGTGCAGTTTCAAAGTCCATTATCTTAAACAAACGTTACTACCTTAGTAGTCAAATAATCTTGCATGTTGTTAGTTTATACACCCGGCGTTAACGGGCTGGATAAATAAACTAACAGTATGCAAGTACAGTACATGTGCAACTTTCTCCCTCTAACCAGCTGAATAAACATCTAAATATCTAAACAAACAAATATTGAAATTAATATGTAAATACACAAGTATGTGTGTGTGTGTGTAAGTATACATGTAAGGCATATGTATGTATGTATGTATGTATGTATGTATGTATGTATGTATGTATGCATGTATGTGTGTGCGTATGCATGAATGTATGCATGTATGTATGCATATATGTAAATATGGATGGATGGATAGATGGATCTATTATTATATATGCATGTAAGTATGTATGTATGTATGTATGTATGTATGTATGCAGGTGCAGCAAAAAAAAATAAAACATACCCAGTGAATCAACTCTTGGCTCATCACTTCTAATTTTCCACGTGATATCATCTCACCCCCCCACCCCCTCTCCTCCAGGTAATCGTAAATCACCGGGAATTTCAGCTGGACTCAATAACTAAGTTTTCAATTTCAAAACTTTATCATCAATACCATAATTACTTCTACTATTACTATCACAGTTATCATTAATACCATTACCCTTATTATTAACATCATACGAAACACCATTTTCATTACACTCTATACTCTCTATGATGAATTACTTTGGGTGACAGCAATATATATATTAATAGTTATGGTAGTGATTATGATGATCACTATGATGATGATGGTAATGATGATGATGAAAAAACAATAAGACATAATAATAATAATAATAATAATAATCATAAAGATTTTGATAATCATAACAAAAATATAATAATAATAATAATAATAATAATAATAATAATAACAATAATAATAATAATAATAATAATAAAGATTTTGA